GCGCGCGCTTGCGCGCGAAAATTAAATTCTAGTTTCTATAAATTTAGGGTGTACACTTTGTTCTTATATTGAAACAAGTTTTAGAAAATTTAGGGGCAATGTCAGTTACTGAATTTTAAAAAGATGCAGCCATTTAAGATAACCAAATTTTTGCTTTAATAAATTACAAAAATTCTTAGACCTACTTTTTTTTTTTTTTATTAAGAAAAAGTAATAGATATTTATTACACATTGTGTTTATCTTGAACAGATTTTATAAGTTGTCTTAAATCAAGAGAACGAAATTATAAAGACAAATATATATGTATCTCGTTTAAAAATATTCAAATGCTTTATTTGAGTGAAATTCTTCAAAGTAAAATTTCATCATCTTCATCCAGGAGTAAATTTCTTGAATTGAGAGAGTAAAATATTTTTTTAAACAAAAGAGAAATTTTAAAGAGTATAGTTTTCTTAAATCAAATAGTTTTATTATTCAGTGGACATATTAATAATATCCATGTATACTGTATAATATAGAAAACATAAATATAACATATGCGAGCAATAAATAAAAAAAAGTGCAATTGGAACATATGTGGAGCAATAAAAGAGTAGAAATGACCCGGTACGATCGATTATTTACATATATAACTGGTACAAGTAAGTACCTAGTTGGAGAGTTATATAGCAATTACCAAACTTACCTCCAGTCTTTTAAACCTTTCTCTCAACTGTACACCCTACATCAGAGTAAATCCTCAAACAATTACTATTATGTATTTGCTACTCAAACCCATTTCAATTTACAACTTCAAAGAACTTTCAGACGTACAATTTAAACTTGCAGTTTTACTCACAAGCTTTCATTTTATTTTATTATTACTATTATTTTCATTTTATCTACATCTCCCCTTATTTAGTATTTTTTTTTTTTTTTTTTTTCAAAGCAATATACTCGAATTTTTCACACGCTCTTTGCTCGTTTCATTATTTAAATTATAATTATTAGGAAAGATTACAAGGTAGTTTGTTAAATTTTTAAATTAATGGGAATGATATCAAGGATTACGCAAGGATTTTTAGTTGGTAATACAGAGTACAGTTATAGGAATTGTTGGTCATGTAGATTTCGCGGTAGCTTCTAAAATTTGTCTAAATAAATTTTTTTGTATTTTTGTCATGGAATTTTAGTTTAGAAATTCTGGTATAGTTAAAAAATTTTTGAATGTTAAAAATTATTGACTCTTTTAGAACAATAAAAAATCTCGAGATTTAAAAATATTTTTAATTGCTTCAAATATTACTTATTTTTTAAAAATTTTAATTATCTATGTAAAAAAAATTAGAATTCAACATTACACTATGTTTTTCATCTTATGAAACTGACATTCGTTTTTTTTTTTTTTTTTATGAACTTCAAGCTTCTGATTCTCGTCGTTATAATTTAATGATAGAAATTTTTGCTACTCATGTTTTAAAAATATTTCCTAAAAATTAAAAAAATGAGTAATTATAAATTAATAGTAATAGTAATATAGATTATTGCTTTTTAACGATAGATATCAATAAAGATCACTATTTCTCGCATTCATTTATATTTATGGTTGAACAGTATGTCTAAAACTTTACACTTTTTCATTCGTTTTATGACATATAAATTTATTCTTAATTATTTTTAATTTACATTAGTACTATTTAAGTATAGGGTGATGGATCGTGGCCATGCGACAATGAGCTGTTATCCATCACACAAAAAAAAAATTTTCTTTGTTAATACTGAGGAGAGACATACGAAAAAATTTGTTACATTCTGATGAGATTTTTTCAGAAAATTTTTCTTCTAAAATAAATAGAAATTATCTATATTCTTTTAACCAAAATAATAAATTGAATAAAATTACTTAATTTATATAGAACGTGAGTAAATAAATAAATAAAATAAAATAAATATTGGAAGCACTGATACAATGTAAAATATAAAATAATAAAGTATTTTTTAAAAACTAAAAAAAAATATTTTTGGTAAATACACTTAACTGGAAATTTATGGTATTAATCAAAGCATAAATAAATCTTCTACTTTATGCTCTTAAATTATACAAATAAATGAAAAACTTACCATGGATGCAAAGTAAAATTTTTCAAAGTCCCGTTCATGTGATCGTGCGGTTGTGAGGGTTGTGGCCGCGTGTCTTGCGTGCTTTGTAAGAATGTCCTCTCCCTTCTTGCAAAGCCACGAAAGTACCTTAAATATAACAAGATGAAAGTAAATGAAACAAAAAAATTAATAATAAGTAATAAAAAGTAAAAATAAGTGAAAAGAAAGATTTAAAGGGAAGCGTTTCAGTGATAAAAAAAAAAAAAGATAATAATTTAGCATAAGATTGGATTGAATTTTTCTTCATTCCAGGTTTGGGATGGATATCATTCATCTGGAAGGGAAGCTCAATACATACTCTCATCTATAATACACTTAAGTAAGCCCACGCTCTCGTTTTCTCGTTTTCGCTTACCAATTGGATCACGGCCCCGAAAAAAGCATCGTCTTCATCTTTTAAAATTTATTATTTTTATTTTTCTTCTTTATCTTCATCTTGTTCTTGATGTGTAGGGACATTACTATACGAGGCCGCGTAAGCCCGCAGGGTTATTCCAAACTCTTGCTCAAAAATTAAATTAAACGAGAGGGTTATTCGGGTTACTGGGCCGGCAGTGTCGAGGACCTGTTCTACCGTCCTCATAATTAATGATTTATTAAACTAAAAAATATAACCTTATGATCGGGATAAAAAATGATCGGCTAATGTCATACATAATTCAAACCCGGATTCTTCGGTCTTACTTTAGCCATTAGTACCGATACTCGTATGTATATAAGCACTTGTTAATCGTTCAAGTATGTGAAATAGGAATGTATTAATGTAATATAATAAAAAATAAAATCACCCTTTACTTAGCTATTGTACACCTAGAATTTTCTATAGATATGAATATAATAAATATATATTAACAAAAAAAAATTTCTCTCTCTCTATCTTTCTTTCTTTCTAAATATATATTTATATATATATATATTAAATACTTTCGCAAGAGCTGTCGTGTGACCGGCTTATTTCTATGCAATATCGGTTTAGGAATTGCGCGACCACCTCCAACAGCAGCAGCCAATCTCTTTCTTTATACTTGTTGTCTCTTAGAGTAGACTGCATAACAATCTGCAGTCAACAATGAATATAATGTACACAGACTCGTGATTCCAGGCGTCTTATCGCACCACGACAATGGGACTAAGCCTTTTTTTTATAATATATATACTTAACATTTTTAACTCTATTCAATGATCCTAATATAAGAGTTTAGGATGAAAAATAGCTCGTTTAATTATTGCAATACACGAGGTACACATTAATCACCCGTTACAAATTATAAAATGGACATTTTTCATTTGACGTTTTTGATACACAATCTTAAATCTATATCGTGTATATTCTATCATCCAATTAATAGACAATGTGGGCATTCATACGTGACGGCTTTTAGTCTGCCGTTGTTCCTATTGCTGTTCACGTTCAAGTCGTTGTTGTCTCGTTTACTTTGTCGTGTGTACATATTTTCCGCTTACATTTGCTAGTCAACATATAAGAGGACAAGAGCTAGTCATGGAGCTGAGATGTTAACGGCAACTAAACAGCAAAAGGTCTCTCTCGTAGTTACTACTACTGGTACCTATAAGGCGTTATGATGCCGGCATATACAGAGAAAAGATACTCCAGCCATTGCTGCTTCAAGCTTATTTGCATTAACGTTCGGGTACAACAATAGTATCAAGGTACAGCTAGGTATATAAGCACGCTGACTCGATGCTTTCCAACAGAGTCCACTCGCCTTCTTTCTTTCTTTCTTTCTTTCTTTCTTTCTTTCTTTCTTATACTTATACATACATATTGTTGCTATATTACTCTTGCTACTGTTGATGTTGCTGCTACTGTTGTTGTTGCTGCTGCTGTTGGTGTGCATACTCTCTTAGAGAGAGAGACGTTCTCTCATGGAGATTGCAATTGCGGACAAAGAGAACGAGGGCTTTCTCACACGATGGACTATAAGCCTTTTCTGTATCCACAATGTATATCTAAAAGAAGGATTGCATTCTAAATCTAACCGATCTTTACCTCTTGAGCTTGCTCCTCGATGCTCCGTAACACGGCAAAGTTTCTTATCGTTGTACGACGAGACTCAAAACTATTTTCCAGGCGTGTTGCTGCGTTTCCTACTTCTTCCATAAGCCGTTTGGCACGTTGGACCGCGTGTGTCACATAATCCAAGTGTGAAACATTTTTTGCACGTTCTTCTAGCACTGCCAAGCACTCTGCGGCATTTCTGGAGGTTCGCCGAGTTGTCTCTTCACTTAACAGACGACTCAGGGGTGTTAATGAGCTACTGACGTTCGCGGAGTCTTTTAACTCTGACATTTCTAATACTAACTGACGTCCGTAAGCTTGCCAATCTGACATCACGCTGTCGTACTCCTAAAATAATGAAACAAAGTATTGAATTATAGAAAAAAAAAACTAAAATAAAATAGAAATAGTTTTAATCCAATCAACTTGTTTGATGCTACCTTATAAAAATCAATCCAATCTTGTTGGTGGTAATCCAGGTCTTTTCGTGAAGGAATACGTCGGTTAATAATTGCATCATCAACGCTCGTTATCTAGATAACATGTAAAAGGATATATAATCAATTATATTATCAATTTATCGAGTACTACACGCATCGTAAATTCGTATTGTAATCCATGTGAACAGAGATATTATTATTATTATTATTATTATTATTATCATTGATTTTCTCTTTGGAGGGTTACATTTACATGAGTTAATTTAATATACATATATATATATATATACAAATTACAAGAATAGGGCGGTGGGTAATTGAAGAGTATAATATAATAAAAAATATAAAGAGTACAGAGTAGGAACAGGCATTAGTAATAGTTTGAATCAGTAGTTGTGCAGTTTTATAGCGAGGGGAAATAAATGGAAATACAGAGCTCATTGAATAGCTACAGAAATTCACAATAGAAAGGCCAATTATCCTTCATATGTTTTCGTTTGCAATAATAATGACTCATTATTAACATCGATTTATAATACTATACGGTCTTTTGTACTTTAGCTCTTTATCAATTGGAAACGTTTTATTACCTTAACACGACTACGTGGAAATTGGGAGTCGGTTACTGCTGTTGCTGTTGTTGTTGTTGTTGCTGTAGCTGCTGTTGAAGAGTCGAGGCACTGGTTTTGCAATAGAAGAGCTTGTCGAACATTTACTCTACCCTGTATCAACACTAGCGCACGATCTAGGATATCAAAGTCGTCATGATTGCCACCGCGAATCACTAGCGTCCATCCATTCTTGGTACGATCGGAGCTGATAATTTTAAATAAAATTTATTAATATTTATTTTTCATTTTTTTCTTCAATTTTTTCATAGACACACCATTAATAAATTTACAAAAATGAAATTTACCTGTGAAGTCGTGAAAGATAGAGTAAATAAGAGGCTATTTCCCTAGGACATATCTTCTCTTTACCATTGGCACAGACATTTTCAAACTCAAGTACAAGTCTCCCAGTAACATCGTCCGCATATCCTGTAAATAAATACGAGAAACACCGTAATAAAGATACTTAAAGTATTATAAGTATGTGTATATATAAAAGGATTGTCTTTCTCTCATATTATATGTATAAAAATAATAGTAATAGCAAACACAGTATATAGTAGCATAACAGTGAGTGCATTATCGATTAACGTTAAAAAAAATAATCGGTAAAGTATACAGCGTATAGTGACTGCACTTTGCCAGTGATGTCTATGGGATCCGGGTCATATCCTGAATTCAACTTTATTGACACGCCGCCTTTACTGGGATACTCTCTTCTTCTTCTTCTTTATTTTTATTTCTTATTATGCTTCTTATAAATTTTTTATCATCATCATAATCATCGTTGTCGTTTCTCGATGCATTAAAGGCGCGTACGTCCACGCGAGCAAGATCATGATTGCGGTAAGTAGGTAAAGCCTTCACGTGCCTAAAGATATTATACATGTGCAGTGTAATGAGAAAAGAAGCTGCGCGCATTTTGCTCGCACGTGCGAAGATATCTTTATGTATATATATATATATATATATATATATTTTTTTTAATAATAATATTTTTTATTTTACGTTTTAAATTACTCGGTATGGTAGAAAACATCAATCAATTGACACTCAACTTAGCTATCAAATATAAAGTGTTAAAGCGTGAAATGAAGGTATGAAGATGTTTAAATCACCTGGTAACCGTAGACAGTTGAGAACACGTTCTGGTAAATCATGAATACTCCTTGGAGTTGATACTTCAGCTTCAGTACGTCTTTTCGCACCTACAATAATAATAGTAATATTAATAAAAATAATAATAATTTTAAAAATTAAAAAATGAAAAGTAATCTTGAGGTATCAGAACAATCTGAATGATAATGTAAAATATATAAGTTGTGGAGAATGAGGGTAAAGTGTAGCCTGAAGGGCGGAAGTGATTAAACTCTCAAATGGAAACTGGAAACTGACAAGTGGAAACCAGCTGTATCTAACTGTGTTGGTAAATACATCAACATTAATACGCATATTTTTTAAAAATATCTATAGATACAAGCAAGTATAAATATTCTTATAGCAAAATGCAAAACCTTTACCTTGACAGTACACAAGTTTTATAAGATGGTATGTTGTAAATATATATATATATAAGTATATGTACATATACGATAGAGTTAAAGATTTACTTATAAGTGAGTAAAGAAAAAGAGAGAATGGGAGGACCACCCGTTGAATGGCAATCGCTACACCGGTGTACCTACCAGCAGCACCCGGTCTTTCTCTTTCTTTCTCTTTTTAAGAAAATGATATTCGCGTAATTGCCGAGGCGTTCCCACCGACAATTTAAACAGAAAGACTATGTGCATTTACATCAGAGCAACAAGCATACGCGACTTTTCAATCGATACCTCTCATTCACTTTATTACTTGACTCTCTTTGATATCACAGATAGTACAGATAGTACAGAAATAAAAATTATAATAGCATGCAAGTGGAATTAAATGATAAAAATTTAATTATTAAACTTTTTAAATTAATAACTCAGTTCGCTAAATAACTGGTGTACTGGAGTAGGTAAAAAAGCATTTAAAAATAGTTAAGTGTATAGAGGTATGACTAGAAACCGGAAACGCATGATACTCTGTTAACTTCCGTTTCATTGTCACTTTTACCTCTACCTTTCGTGACGGTATATTATTCTCATGCAAAGTAAAACGTGAATTGGATGATTTAAAATACTTTTTAGCAAGAGAAGTACAGAATTATACTCACCAAAGCCCATCCGCACTTCTTCCTCATCATCACTGTCAATGTGCTTTATTCCGGCAACTTCAAAGCTGTGACAATTATCAACAATGTCACCACAATGACACGTTTCATTATCACCGTGCTCGTTGGTACATTCTTCTGGGCCAGCACACTTACAGCCCAGTAGCGGATCATCCGTATCAATATTTCGACACGCAGGACAAGGAAACACAAGATCGTCGAGATTAACTCGTTCGATTTTACGTTCAACAGTTACCAGCAATGTGCTTATAAGATTGCCTAATTCTTCTTCATTATTATTTATTATTTCACGTGAACAATTATCATCTACCGATAATTGTTGATGCCGGTTATTAATTATTGACTCGAGACAACTGGGTCGTATTAAATGGTCTATTGCAATCTTAGCTTCTTCTTTATGCCGATTAGTGTGTCGTTGATCTAGCCTCATTGCCGGGAGCTTTGGGAGGAGTTCTTCTTCTTCTTCTCGTTCTTGCTCTTCAGCAGGATGTTCCGTAGGAACTCGTAAAGGCGAAAACACATTGGAATTATGGTAATTATTATAATGAGGATGATAATGTTGTGGTGCTGACGCAGGAACAGATCCAGAGGCTGAAGAAGCAGATACTGAAGTTGGAGAAGAATCTTTAAATTCTTTTCTCAAAGATAATTCTTCTTTGGATTTACGTCTATGACGTGTTGATGGTGAACCAGTTGGTTGATGGTGGTTATGACTGTGATTATGCTCTTTAGCCTCTCGCCAGTCCATATAGTCGTCTTCGCGCTCCCAACCGAGGATTCCCGGGGAGCGCATCGACGATCTCCAAATTAATGCAATCTGTAATTAATAAATGTTTATTATATATATTCAGTTTTTACTTTTTAACTACTATAATTTTAATAAATAAAAATATCATGCTATGTTATAGCATCTCACTATAATATATATGTACATATTTTTATTATTTCTTCATATTATAATTAGCAATTTTCTAATGGTTATCAATGATTCTCAATGTTATTATAATTTTTCGGAAAACAATTACTTTATAGTATAAAAATAAGAACAATTGTTCAAGAAATTATTAATTTTTTGAAAAATAAAAATAATTTTTATAAACACTATTCCATATATAATGAAATTACTTTTAAAATCTTTAAAAAAAAAAAAATCCTTTGACTATTTCAAGTAGAAAAAATTAAAGTCTAATAAAATAAAACAGTTTCAAAAAACGTTTATACTCTAGATTGACATAAATAGAAAATACATTGATAAAAAGAAATTTCACGGAAAAAAAAATCAATTCTTAAAATTTTACAATTACTGTTTTGAAATAAGGCAGTTATTTTTTTATTTTTTATCAATTATAAATCTAAATTAATTCAATAAACTGACCTTAGTTTCATTTTTTATTTAATTACTCAATTTTTTATTCGTTCATACTTTTAATCGAGCTATTGCCAGTATATCAAAGATGTATTCCTCTAAAGCGTTTAAAATGATTAAATAAATAAAAATATCTAAATTAAGTCATATTTATTATTATTATTATTATTATTATTATTAAAAAAAAAAGTAGAATTGAATCTGTCACTAAAATTAATGAACAAAAAATGTTAATTTGTTAAAAATAAATAAATCCATTTTTAACAAACGATGTATTATATTGAACGAATTGAAAATAATAAAAAATAAATGAACTGACCCTTAATATAATACCCAGAACTGATTTATTAAATTAATTAATTGAATTTATTGAATTTAAATTTATTACGCAGTGTGGTAATGATTTAAATTGAGATGTGATATGTTTAATATATTATAGGTATATGTACATATGACGTGTATACATAATGTGTTAATGGTTGATTCTGTGAAATAAATGAAACGTGATATGAACCTCGACGATATCGATGATCCTTTCCAGCTGGCCCTCGTTATTCTTAGTAGTCTCGTTGTTGACGACGACGACACTGCTGCTGTTCCCGGTGTCCCCACCACTTGGACGACTGCTTCGCACGCAGAGATAACATTCCCCGTGTCTCAGAGCGGAAGCTTCGAGTTCTCCAAGCTGTAACACCAGCCCGGTACCAGCCAGAGTTAACGGCCAACCATCAGGTACCAAAGATTTGTCATCCTGAAACCAATTAATGATTACATTCTTTATTTTATTGCTTCTTTTACGATATTAATAACTCTCGTGTACACCTTATGCGCATTCCCGCTTACCATTTTTTTTAACCAATCGTTTTTAATTTTAATTATAATTACTTGTAATTAAACTTCACTTTAAATATCTTCAAGAATTACTGTACTGCATTTTTTATTACAACAATTATTGAATGAATAATTTATCAAATAACAGATAATTAAAATTTTGTCATAAAATACTTTTGTAGTTTTTTTTTTTTTTGTATTCTATTGTACGTGAATGCTTATTTTTTACTGAGAATTTTATATTTGTAATACGTATTCCGGACACGGTATTTAAATAAACTTCTCTGAATAATTTATTTTAAACGAAAAAAATAAAAAAAAAAAGAAATAGAAAATTACTTGGAATATTCTACGCTACGTTTATGTATTTATTTATTAAAAAAATTGTCCCACATTTTTTGAACTTTGAACTATATTGTAAGTTTATACTTGTGAATAAATAAGTTACATTTAGTCGGTACTGCCAATTATAATTCAAGTGTTTAGTTATGTAATAGATCAAGAAAATTTTTCATCTTCTCAGTATCTAATTAATATTTATAATTTTTTTTTTTTTTGTTTCAATGGTTGAACACTGTAATTAACTAACTTGAACTAGTTTTTTAAATAATAATTTATTTTACGAACGTGAAGTCAAAATAATTGTTGAATATTATTAATAAACCAACAATTTTTAGCTTTTTTTTTATCGTATCTATTCATCAATGTAACCAAGTTTTTGAGGAAGTAAATTGTCATGAATTTTTTGATAAGTACATGAAGAGAATTTTAGGATACGTATTATATTTAAGAATTTTTAGCGAATCCAGGCCACAGTAAGTTATTCTTTTGTTTGCAAATATTCCGCGTTCACAAATTACAAGGTATAATGTACTGTATTGAGAGTACTTTTTAAATTTCATCAAAAAGAAGTAAAATTAAAAATTAAAATAAATAAGTACTTAATACTTAATATTTATTTCTTTCTTCTAATATTATTTTATTTTTTGTTTACGGCCTAATCTTATTTTATAAAGTGTAAAACGATTTCGTCAATATTTTTTCCGTAAAGATTTCATAAATTAATAATCATCTTATCGACTTGACAATAATTAAATTAATTTTTTATTTAATATTTAAAATTTTATACTGAAACATTAAAAATAGAGTTTTAAAAATTAAAAAATCAAACAGAATCTAAATTTTCGTGAGTTTATTGGTTTCTTTGAATTTGAATTTATTTTTATTAAAATTAAGGTGTCACACAAAAGTTATCAATGAATAAGACTTCTTTTACAATAAATTAGAGTGTTAATAAGCTCTACATATAAATAAATGAAGATGACAAAACTTAAATTATTCAAATTAAAAACTTATTAGCAAACGAAAACAAATTATTCGTAATGAAAATTTGATGTCGTTAAACCATTACATCACAGAAGACAGAAGAATAAGAGGGGGATACCCATGTAAACGTGACAAAGTTCAACAATAGAGAGAATGAATCACAAAATGTAATGTGACACTTTGAAAGCTTAAAAAATTCAATTTATCTTCTATCCATTAAATATATAATTAGGTGCACGTGTAAATGTTTTTTGTTACTCAGTTCCGCAAGTTAAATAGATTACAAGTTAAACTATGGTATATGATAAAAAAAATATAACATTTTTTTGTATCTAATGTAATCTTTCGCTGAAATCCAGTTTGCAAAAAAGTCAATCTTATCTCTCCGTAAAATAATTCAATAATGTAAATATTTTATCTCAATTTGTTGATAGAGAATATTTTTTCTTTTTAATATTCTCAGGTATTTATGGTACACTTTTTTCTATTCATAACTAGGATTGTTATGGAGAAGATATAGTGTCTAACGAAAATTTCATGAGTCAGACAGAGTTTAAAATGAAATTTCAAAAAAACTTAGTAAGGATAATTTGAATTGCAATAGTCTTTATGAAACAAGAGACCAAGTAGTGGTTTTTATTATCATCATTGTTTTTGTTAGTGATAATTACTTTTATTATTTTAAAATAATATGTAAAAAAGGTATCTACGGATCCATTGATAAGAAAACTAACTTGGTTAAAGAGAAATGATATTATACTAAGGAAATTATTTTCAAGAAAGCCGATTGTCTTACTTCAAGAATTTTTTCCCTTAATTTATCAATTATTTTAAGAAATTAAAAGTTTGTGTTCAAAGTAATAATTTCTTGTTTCAAAATTTTATCAGTTCAAGAAAACAAAATCTCCATTAAATTTTTGGCGAAAATTTTTTAAAGAATTCGTTATTATTGAAAACCAATGTGACTGAATAATTTAATAAAAGGAGAAATTTTTAAAAGAAATGTATTCACTGATAGAAAAATGAACTTGATTCAAGAGAATAAATTATGAAGCAAAATGATCATTATGAAAAATTTTATCACTAATTAAACAGAAAATTTTATAACATTAAATTTCTTGAAAATGATTTTTTTGTTTAAAGATTTTTCCTCAATCAAGTTGATTTTTTCTATTCTTCTATCAAAATACGTGCCGTGTTTCAAAACAACAACGTGCTTCTGTAGAGTAAAATTTTTAAATGAAGAATTTTTTACTCATCCAAAAATGATTACTTTTTGATTCAAGAGTTAATTTCTTAAATGAAGATAGTGAAATTTAAAGGAAAATATTTGAAAATAAAGTGGAATATGTATGGCGTGCAAGAATAGCTTGTCCGAGTAGAGAAAATTTAAAATGGTTCTTCCGGGTTCGATCGGGCCATTCCTGCACCTTGGCCTGCTGGATCTCCTTAACTATCCTTACGTTACAGCAGAGTGTAGAGTGTAGATTCTCAATATTCCCCCTATGGGGGAACATACTGCACTTGGATATGGGTATGGGTATTATCACACACAATGCCCCAAGTCGAAAGAGCACACACGTGTATATATTATATATACAAAATACCAAACGAGCCACAGACCAAACACGGTAAATAAGTGAAATAAAATATCTGCAAGTAACCGCGGGCAGTCACGAGTACCAGAAGCAGCCACGCGTTCCAACTTCCAGCTCCTCTTGTCACCATCTCATTAGCCTTCCTCTTTCACTATTATATTAACTTTATATAAATATATACATAACATATATTTACATTTATTCATACATACATACGTACATTAAATTTACTTATAACATTTTAAACAAGACCCACGTGCGTGTCTCATCAGAACTTAAAAGTACCGATCTTATACGAGTGTAAGTAAATTTTCATGAAATTTCACTTCCTTCTTTCTTCTTTCTTCTTTCTTATTTCTTATTTCTTATTTCTTCTTACTTGTGTTACATTATTGTACATATTTTACTTGTATAGAGACTTTATTTATTTCAATTCATACTTCCAGCAGACACTGTTATAGGTTATAGCTCATGGTTGCGTGCGACTTGTTATTACGATGTTTAAACCGACATGAGGATTGAGAAAAGACGAACCATATAATATCTACAACCACCTATGTGTAAGTAAGTTTATATTCTCTCAACAAACCATCAGAATCGTACATCACATATGCGATCCACTAACGCATATCAAATAATGATAATAATAATAAAAGAAGTAGTGAAGTAGAAATGAATGGAAAAAATATATAAAGAAGCGTTAAAGAGAAGGAATACATGACGACGGAAGATAACGCTGAAAAACAAGAAAAAGAAGCGACTTGTGCTGTGGATCGTCTTCAGTATGACCAAGTAAACTAACCGGTCTTGGATCAGTATAACTACCCTGAGGTAATGAAGTCATTTTTTTTACACAAGATTCCATGAAAATTATACCTACGCAGTAAATGGCATGCCAGAGCCCAATAACGAGACCGAACATTTGAATAATTTACGTATCAACTTTGAATTATTGCAATTATTAATATTTAACTTCGAAAACGTATTAAATTTAAAATCGTTTCTGCGCTGATGATCGTGACCACACCCGACGTCGACATCCCGCTAAGGATTTCCCGCTAAATTAACACCGTTAGCATTCGCTTCTCTATGAAAGGGTAAATCTCATTAATGTTTAAACGTAATTGTTATACAATTATCAAGGTAATTACGCTTTTTTTTCGCACATTAACTGAATAAATAAGTTTTTTTAATTAGGAAACTTCAAAGGGCAATGACAGTGTTGCGTTACATCATTCTTTTTTTTTAATTGGCTGTAAATTATAATTTATAATTTAAAATATATAACATATATAATTTAAGAAGAAAATTCTGAAATTTTTAGACGATTGATTTGTTTAGGGAGACAATTAATAAAATTTGTAACGTGACCAAAAGAATTAAAGGATTGACGTTTCGTTCGAATTACGGCGATGATGAGTTACCAAAAATTTGCACGCACATTTGCGTGTTCATAATCCAGTTGTTCACCATTAAAATATATAAAGTCAATTGTATATGAAGTAAAATAATTATTGAGTTATTTTTTATTGAAATATTTTAATCGATGTATAATTTTAAGAAAGTTAATGAACTAAAACGGGTAAGATCAAATAAAAAGTTGTTGGAAAATGAAATCCGGTTGTCAATGAAGAAATTAAGAGACAGAAAGGTGCAAATTTGATTATTCAAAAGAAGATATGATCGATGTATAATATTGATGTTTGATGTCTTGGTTTTTTTTTTTTTGTTTTTTTTGTTTTGTTTTATTAACATATTATTTATCGAAGAGATCGCATTATCGCGCATTACTTCAAAATAATAACGTATTTAAAACGTCAATTCGACACTTTTGATGTGTTTGAAAATATGGAGAGAAAGTATGATATTATAAGAACCCGATTATTATTCGTGTCGAAGAAAAATTATCCACGAATTTATATAGTGTAAAAGATTATGAAAACATTTAATTATCACGATAAAATATTTTACAAAAAAGATTTAAATCATTAGTGTGTAGTCCGATAATTATATGGAAATTATTTCATATTTATTATCATCATTATCATTATGATTGTTGTAATTTAATACATGGCAAACTTCTGTAGAAAG